CTAAATCCAATTGTTAATCCCAGTTGATGGCATCAGCTACAAAGACCCATTCAAGTAGCTGAATTCACATAAATATAAGTAAGGTGTAATTCATTTAATGAGTCTATTTAAGCACTAAGAATTGGATTTAGCCCATTAAATTCAGCTTGGGTAACAAAAATCTGAATGAACAAAAGTGAAATTATAACTTAACTTCTACTAAAAAATAAAATGAAGAGAAAATATGAACCAATGTCCAATTTACTGAAGGGTATGCTTTTTTTTCCAGTAGAGGGTAATGAAACAGTCCTTTCCCATCTTTATAAGACCATTGCAAAGTGATAATTTATTCTTATTCAAAAATCAGAAATATGTGATTTGTTTCTCCAGATGCAGGCCAATGCTTATGGAACATGGCAGAATCAAACAAGTGTTACAGAATTCATCTTGTTGGGGTTTGGAAAGCTTGAACAATTCAAGATGTCTCTTTTTCTGGTGTTTGGTGTGATCTACTTTATGACTGTAGGTGGAAACATCCTCATTGTTACCTTGGTTGCAGTAGATCAGCATCTTCACATTCCCATGTACTACTTCTTGGCAAATTTGTCTTGCTTGGAAATTTGCTATAGTTCAACGATCCTGCCAAAGATGCTGACAGATTTTCTGTCTGGAGACAAATCAATTTCTTTGCAGGGCTGCTTCACACAGTTGTTTTGTTTTGGCTGTCTTGCCATTGTTGAATGTTATATTTTGTCAGTGATGTCTTATGATAGGTATGTTGCAATCTGTAATCCACTTCATTATGCAACCATTATGAATGGTAGAGTCATTCTTTACTGCATTGTAGCATCTTGGTTATGTGCAGCATCTATTTTAGTTATCATCATATCCCTAGTGTCACAATTATCCTTTTGTGGCCCCAAGGAAATTGACAATTTCTTCTGTGATTTTGGCCCGCTACTCCAACTTGCTTGCAGTGATACAAGTCACATCAGAGTGCTAGCTCTCATATTTGGATCGATTGATATCCTACCTCCTTTCATATTAACTGTCTCATGCTATGTTTGCATTATTGCTGCTGTCTTAAGAATTCAATCCACCACTGGAAGACAAAAAGCTTTTGCCACTTGTTCCTCTCACCTCATCGTGGTCTCCATTTTCTATGGAACTCTAATGATTGTCTACCTTTTACCAAACATCAGTACGCTTAGAGATCTTAAAAAGGTGTTCTCTGTTCCATATACAGTCTTGACTCCCCTGGTCAATCCATTCATATACAGTCTAAGAAACAAAGAAGTGAAGCAGTCACTGAAAAGAGTTCTGAGTAAATCCATTGGTTTTCCTGAAAAAATGAGATGGAGGTCTCTTCCTGCATTTGGCTATAACATCAAACCATAGTTTGTTTTAACTAAGGTTCATGGTACAAGCTAAGGTACAACTCATAAAGGGGCAAAGAGATTCCAGTTTGTTTCACTTAATGTTGGTTTGTTGTTACCCTGCCTCCTGCAAAACCCCATCTGTTACTCTGAATGTCTTTGCAGTGGCTGATAAATAGTATGAACTCACCATAACACTCATCCTTTAAGAGTTGGTCAGTTGCTAAAATG